TATCCAACTTTGTGTAAGTGTTGAAGCAAAATGCCAAACACAACATAACTGTTTGAACCCTTACAACATTTGGCTTTTTTCTGTGGCATAAAGTGAAGCACACACTTCAATGAACAGATTACCACCTGAGAACACAAAGTTGTGAAGAGCAAATGGACACGCAAAAAGTCTGTGAACATTTAATCCTGATCCACTGACGGCAAGGAGAACATCAGACCTACTTCAGTGTGAATGGCCAACTGGCCTTTCACATACCTTCTGTGTCTGCTGCAGTTGGCGACGCCACCTGCATGCCGCCAGAGCTAGCTTGACCGTCTGCTCATTCAGGGTGCTCAGATCGGTGGCACTGCCCCACTCATGGGGCTCCTCCTGGTAACACACAGGAAGATCAGTGTCAACATTTGGCCCATCTGATATACGCACACAGGGTAGTGGCCTGCTCTAACACTAGGCTCAAGTCACAGAAATCAAGTTTGGTGACTTCATAAGTTTTACTTTTTTTCAAACTGTGAACAGCACAAGCGGCTGCAGTCAACTGCAGAGCCAAATCTCATGGTGCTGCTTAGCACTCAGCACAATTTCATGCCTGTGCCGACAGTTACTCCACTGATATATGCACACTTCTGTGATGGTGTTAAGCTGAGAAATAGAGGCTCTGTTGGCACAGAAGTGGATGTGACGCCACCTTTTGATGACACTTCCGGCAGTGCTGAATGTTTGTGAAGTGCACTGAGTCCAATCAACTAAATTGACTATACCTTGATGAAAAGTACATCATGTTTATTTTTGTACCTCAACAAACTCTCCTGCCCTCCGGCATGCCTCAAAGAAAGACTTGTGCAGAACCCACTTTCCGCTGGCCAGAGAGGCTAGGTACTTCTCATTGCGAGTTGGATTACCTGTGACAGAAAAGCGTCATAACAGAAAGACACATTCTCACCCAAATAAATGATACACTCACAAGTTTAAAGAGGCTAATTTGTGTTCAATGGTAATGGATGCCTTAGCTCTGTGATCCCAAATTAGTGCAGATTCCTTGCCAAAGTTCAAGCTTAACCACTTCATGCCGGGGCATTTTTCAATGTTGATGATGCTGGACAGGCGTGACTATCATTTTTTCCATTTTAAAAATCCTTCAAAAATTCATCATTTCATTTAACAGTTGTTTATAGCCACACGAAGTAATCTTGAGGC